TAGTAGCTATTTTTTTAATTAACTGTGAATACTTAGCAATTTAGAAGTGAGTAAAAGCTGTAAATTGCTGGGTGCTTAATACTGCAGAAGCCAACTGTCCTCTTGCTTCTGTCCTAGATCTTTGTATACAAGGCACTGCCTATAGCAGTGAGTGCATATCAAGGCTGTCTGTGGCCCCTTCATTTCAACAGCATTTGGAATAGTGGTGCCAGGCCAGGAGGGGGACACATTGCCCCTGAAGCTCCTAGAAGAAAAACAGGATAGGAAGGGTAGGGGTACACTGACTTTAGAGTTAGCAGTAAAAGGCTTTGGGGACTCTGATTTTCAGATGGCTCCCTTTCTCCTTCCAGCCAGATTTCATAGGCATGTTGAAGTAAATTAAACCCCAAATCCCTCTGATGTAGCTGAAGGAGTAATTCAACTTTTCATGGCCCAGCATCCTCCTCATGTCATCAAAACTAAATCAAGCCATCAGTTTTATTTCTGGAAGGAAACCAAAAAATTAACCAAAAAAAGTTGCCTTTGGAAGAGGAAGGAGTGATGCTTTCACTCTTTATTTTTTATCTTTTTTGTTTGAATATTCAGACCATGAAAATGCATTTTATATAAAATACAAATATTTTATACCCATAAAATATGTACACACACATATAGGAAATTTTTATGTCAGTAGGGGTTATCTGGTGATGTGGAATTACAGACTGGTTTTTTTTCTCTTCTGTATACTTTTATGTATTAAAAAATAGTGTTTTTTTTTGAAGTATCTCTTTCCACTCAGTGCATCTCTGTCTCCACTCCTCACATCAGTTTTCCATTATTACAAATAGGTCTTGCTGCTTTTCCCTCAAGATTTCCTAAATTCCTCTACTCCCATCAAGGCTAGGTTACATACATTCAAGAATACCACTCATCTTCCTCTCCTCCTCTTCCCTTTCTCTAGCTCCTACCTCTGTGGAGCTGGTTATGCATTTCCATTCATGCTGTACAAGCACTTGGACATTATATAAATCAAGATACCTGTCTTCACAAAGCTTACTTTAATGCAGGTACACAAAAGATACCACAAAGTCTTTGTTGCATGCAGAAAGACAGAAGGTAACTCGTATCTAGATGTATTGATTGAAAGCTTTACAGGCTTTTATTCCTTCCACTCATGGAGCATCAGGCAAGAAAAGTGTTTTGTAGAAAACAAGGGAAATGAGCATGTTTAAGAGAAGTGAAAGAGCAGAGTAAAAAAAGAGACAGAGGGACTTCCCTGGCGGTCCAGGGGTTAGGACTCCGCGCTTCCACTGCAGGGGGCAGGGGTTCTATCCCTGGTTGGGGAACTAGGATCCCGCATGCCGCACAGCGCGGCCAAAAAAATAGAGACAGAGTTACGTTACAGTAGAGGAAGATAGCAAAAAAATTAAAGCATATTCTGGTACTGTTTTCTTTCATCTCTCCGATACTTTGCCCCTCCTAAAGTTCAATCCAGCCCTCCCATAGCCGGTATACCTACATAAGGATGATTATGATGACGTTTACCGACTCTAACCCACCTATCTTCCTTTCTTTTCAGGGGCAATTGCAGAAGTCTTCATATTTCTAGAAGGAAGGACTGCAGAAGACATTTTTACCCCAGGGAGACAGGGATAGAAGCCACAGAAATGATGAGTACCCTTGGGGCCAAAGGGCAGTCACCTCTAGGGTCTGACTTCCAGAAGGTGGGTATGGTTGCTGGGGCAGGAATGGGTTATGGAGAAGGCTCTGTTATTTTAGCTGCCAGGAAATGGTGAGTTGGGTGAGCGAATATGTTATTTATGTATGTCTATATCTTTGTACCGGTAGAGGAGGAACAAGATGAGGATATGCAGAGAAGGTGTATATTTTAAACTTTCCACTCCTCATCTCAAATTGTCTCCTAACTTCCATCTCTCATTCTGTGCCACGATACTCACGTTAAAGCTGTGGAATTCAGATCTTCTCATCCCTCCTGGGCCCTGAGCCCAATGCTCCCAGCTAGTAAAACATCTCCTGTCTTGGCTTTAGCCTTCCTACCTGGTCCATACAAGAATCAGGGTAAAAATTGGGTATGTCCTTAGAGGAGTGGGGTATAAATAGACAAAGGAGTCTCAGGGAAGGGGGGACAATCACAAAGGATGTGTTTGAAAAATCCTGGGATTTCAGACTTCAAGACAGCTGTCTTGCAGCTTCCATTCAGTCTTACTACCTCTTCTACACACAGAACTTTTGGTACACAGAAACAGGCGAGCATTTCAAAATACCAAGGAAACACCTTACTCTCTGTTCATCTAAAAAGCCAGTAGGTGTTTCTTTTACGCCCTTTTGTGCTTTGGAACTGGGCTCAGGAACACAGTGAGGATGAGAACCTGACCTTTAAGTCCTTTAAACTCTGAGATTTATTTAAATCTGAGCTGCCCCAACTCCAAATTTACCCTTAAAACTGTTAACCTAGTTTTATTTCTGATTTGTAAATGCTGGCACTTTTAGAGTACTGGAGGTCTGCTTTACTGCCCAAATAAATCTGTGGTTTGGGTAACTTTGGGGACTACTCATAACACTATAAATATAAAGAACTGCATAATATACAATCAAAGCCATCGATAGAATAAGAAGGAAGAAGTAAGGGGTAAAAAGTATCTCAGGGCCTCTTTTTGCTGAGCTTATATCAGTTAATGACTACTCATTCCTCAGGCATGACCCTGTGGATGAAGCAATGGAAAGCAGCCTGGTGCCAGGGCTGCCAACACTTTGTCACCACTACTTTCTCTCCCTTGCTCCAGTCCAAGATCTGTTTCTCATCATCTACCACATTCCTCTGCTCAGGGACAATCAAGGGTGTTGGTCACAGCTTTTATTCCTAAATGTGACTCACCTGCCTACCAGCCCCTGGTTTGCTGCTTACACCTCCCTTCTTCAGTAATGTCTGGAGTCCACCTTTGAGATGTGCTGATTTAGGGCATGGGCCGGGGGAAAGGAAACATTTTTTAGAATAATATTTTTCCCTTTGGACTTTTAAAATTTGATATGCTAGAGTTCACATACATTATGAATGATTAAATATTTAAAATCTACTTTTTTATTGAAATATAATTCATATAACATTAAATTTCACATAAGATTAATCATTTTAAAGTGTGTAAGAAGAGCGTGTTGAAGATTGTGCAACAATCACTGTTATCTAATTCCAGAATATTTCCATCACCCCACTTAAAAAACGCAATTAGCAGACATTCCCAATTACCCCAAAGCCACCAGCAATCATCAGTCTGCTTTATGTCTCTATGAACTTACCTATTCTGGACAATTCTGGGGTCATATAATATGTGGTCTTTCGTGTTTGGCTTCTTTCACTTAACATTTTCAAGATTCATCCATGTTGTACCATGTATCAGTACTTCATTGTTTATAGTTGAATAATATTCCACTGTATAGATATAAACACATTTTGTTTATCCATTGGTTGGTAAACATTTGGATTATTTCCACTTTTTTGCTGTTATGCTGCTGTGAACATTTGTGTACAAGTATTTGTGTGGACATACTTTTCAATTCTCTTGGGTATGTACTGGGTCATGACAACTCTAACTTTTTTAAAAATATAATTTTGTATTAAAGTATAAGGTACATATTACAAAACAAAAGCACACACAAAGTGTTAAGCTCAATACTTTTCACACAGTGAACAGTTTGTGTAACACTTCGGGTAACCAACACCCAAATCAAAACATGGAATGTGACCAACAGCCCTGAAGCCCCTCTCCTGTTCTCTTGCAGTCACTACTTTCCTGAAATATAACTGCTATCTCAGGTGCTTTTTGTTTTTGTTTTATGGAGCTGAAATTCACATAACATAAAGTTAGCCACTTTAAAGTGAACAGTTCAGTGGCATTTAGTACATTCACGGTGTTGTGCCACCGAAACCTTTGTCTAGTTCTAAAACATTTTCACCACCACAAAATAAAACCCTGTGTCCCTTATGCAGTTAGTTCCCATTTCTACCTTCCCACAGACCCTGGCAATCACCAGTCTTCCTTCTGTCTCTGTGGATTTACATATTCTGGATATTTCATATAAATGGAGTCATACAATCAGTGACCTTTTCTATCTGCTTTCACTTAGAAGAATGTTTCTGAGGTTCATCCATGCTATAGCAAGTATAGGTATTCCATTACTTTTTATGGCTAAATAATATTCCATTGTCTGTGTATACCACAATTTATTTATCCATTAATTCATTGATAGACATTTGGGTTGTTTCCACCTTTTGGCTATTGTGCCTAATATGCTATGAACATTCATGCATAAGTATTTGTTTGAGTACTTGTTTTTAGTTCTTTTCAGTATATACCTAGAAGTGGAATTTCTGGGTCATATGGTTATTCTATGTTTAACATTTTGAGGAACCACCAAACTGTTTTCCACAGCACCAGAATCATTTTACATCCCTTCCAGTAAAATGTATGATGGTTCCAGTTTCTCCATATTCATAATACTTAATTTCCTTTTTCATATATTATAACCATCCCAATATTTCATTGTGGTTTTGATTTACTAATGTGGTTCTGATGACTAATGATATTGAGCATCTCTTCATGTGCTTTTTGGCCATTTTATATCTTTTTTGGAAAAATGTCTAGTGAAGTCCTTTTCCATTTTTTAATTGGGTTGTTTGCCTTTTTGTTGTAGAATTATAAGAATTCTTTTTTTTTTATTTTTTTTTGGGTACGCGGGCCTCTCACCGTTGTGGCCTCTCCCGTTGCGGAGCACAGGCTCCGGACGCGCAGGCTCAGCAGCCATGGCTCATGGGCCCAGCCGCTCCACGGCACGTGAGATCTTCCTGGACCGGGGCACGAACCCGTGTCCCCTGCGTCGGCAGGTGGACTCTCAACCACTGCGCCACCGGGGAAGCCCCAAGAATTCTTTACATATTCTAGATACTAGATCTTTACCAGATATTTTCAAATATTTTCTCCCATTCTGTAGGTTGTCTTTTCACTTGCTTTTGTTAGCTCCGTTTTTTTCTAGTTCCTCAAGGTGTAAAAGTTAGGTTGTTGATTTGAGATCTTCTTTTTAAAAATGTTTCCAGCTATAGTTTCCCTCTGAGCACTGTTTTCACTGTACCCCATACATTTTGATATATTGTGTTTTTATTTTCACACATCTCAAAGTATTTTATAATTTCTCTCTTGAATCTTTCTTTGACCCATTGGTTCTTTAAGAGTGTGTTGTTTAATTTCCACATTTTGTGAATTTTCCAGTTTTCCTCCTGTTATTGATTTTTAGCTTTATTTCATTGTGGTTGGAGACGATCCTTTGTGTGATTTTAATCTTTTTAAATGTACAAGACTTGCTTTGTGGCCTAACATATGATCTATCCTGGAGAATGTTTTATGTGAGCTTAAGAAGATTGGGTATTCTGCTGTTTGGGGATAAAGTATTCTGTATGTCTGTTAGACCTAGTTAATTTAGTATTGTTCAAGTCGTCTATTTCCTTAGTGAACTTCTGTCTAGATGGTCTATTCATTATTGGAGTATTGGAATCTCCAACTGTTATCGTAGAACTGTCTATTTCCCCTTCAATTATGTCAATATTTGATTTAAAATATTTGTCTAATAAGTCCAGTGTCTGGGCTTCCTTGGTGATGGTTTCTATAAACTTCTTTTTTCCTGTGAATGAACAATACTTTATTCTTTTTATACCTTGCGATTTTTTGTTTAAAACTGGACATTTTGAATATTATGATGTGTCAATCTGGGAGTCAGATCCCCCTCCCAAGTTTTGCTGTTGTTGATTATTGAAGTCTGTAGTCATCATTTGTTTACTGACTTTTCCAAACTATTTTTGCTAAGACTGTATGCTTGTGTTTGGTCCTTAAATCTCTGTTCCAGTATCTCAGCAGTCAGTCACCTGACAGAGATTTCCTTAAATGCCTGGAGTGAAAAAATGAACAAAAACAAACAGACAAAAAACCCACTTCTCTTGGTCTTTGCAGACACTGACCTGGGGCACCACTTCAATGCTAAGCCAATCTCCCTAAAACTCTGCCTTGGCCTTCACCTCCTGGCTGCCTGGAACCCAAAGTTCAGCCAAAGGTGCAAGCCTAGGGTCCTCTCAGGTCTTTTCTGAACTCTCATCTGTCTCTGGGCATATACTTTACATGCTGGGTTTCCCCATACACATGGTAGCCCTTCAGAGTTCTTATTTCCCCATGTATCTTCCTCCTCAGACTCCTCCTTTCCAGACTTTTAGATCCGTCTGATGCTTGTTCCATTCGCTGTTTCTTTCTCTGTGCAGCCACTGGTAGTATATGTCTTTAAATGCTTTCAGTGGATGCTTTGAAAGCTGCTCCAGCTTGAGGGGGGCAAAACAAGGTCAGCCTCAGCACAGATTCCTCGGGAAACCGCTAGACAGGGCAAGATTCACAGCTACAATCTTTTGAGAACAAGGTGCATATTATCTTCCCCTGGCACCCGCAAGCCACACCAGGAATATGGGCTGCTGTCCCAATGGCCACCTCCAAGCTGCGGAATGGGGGATGTTAGATGGGTAAGCAAAAATGCTACAATGCTTTGTTACTGAAATTTTGCAGCTGCTTTTTTCATTAAGCACACCACTGGTTGGACTCCACTGTAAGTTTTTTATTAGATTCCAGAGTTCTGAAAAAGTTGATTCTGTCAGTTTTTGCCAGCTTAATGATCGCTTCAGTGGAGGAACTGATTCTTGGAGATCTCTGCGGTGCCATTTCTGTGACATTACAATATGTTACTTTTTGAGGAACTGTCAAACAAACTGTTTTCCACAGCAGCTGTACCACTTTATATTCCTACCAGGAATGTGAGGGTTTCATTTTTTCCACATCTTTCCAACACTTGTTATTTTCTGTTTTTCTTTTTTAATTATAGCCATCCTAGTGGGTATGAAGTGGTATCTCCTTATGGTTTTGATTTGCATTTCTTTAATGACTAATGATGTCAAGCATCTCTTCATGTGCTTATTGGCCATTTGTATATCTTCTTTGGAGAACTGTCCAAATCCTTTGCCCATTTTTAATTGGATTACTTGTCTAAGATCCATTTCTTACATATTATTTTCTAGTCTTTTCCTTACAACGTTATCCTGAAAATCATGCATTAAGAAACTGTGTGTATATTGGGCTTCCCTGGTGGCGCAGTGGTTGAGAGTCCGCCTGCCGATGCAGGGGACACGGGTTCGTGCCCCGGTCCGGGAAGATCCCACATGCCGCAGAGCGGCTGGGCCCGTGAGCCATGGCCGCTGAGCCTGCGCGTCCGGAGCCTGTGCTCCGCAATGGGAGAGGCCACAACAGTGAGAGGCCTGCGTACCAAAAAAAAAAAAAAAAAAAAAAAGAAAATGTGTGTATAAAACTACCTACGGTTTCAGAACTTTACACAACATGATGTAATTCTTAAACACAAGAAGAAGCACTTCTGTCTGTATAAAGGTACATATTGTATTAATTAGGATTCTTTTGGTTGTAACAGAAACTAAACTCACACAAGCTTAAGAAAAAAAGTGAATAGGTGGTAATTTGTGGTTTGGTAATTGGGAAACCGAGTCAGAATTAGATCCAGGAGGTCAGAGATGTCATCAGGACTCTTTGTTCCCCATTTCCTCAGCTCTGCTTAACTTCTTATTTTCTCTCCACTCAGATGCAAGTTAGCACCTGCAGGCTCAAGCTGCCATGGTTCTTATAGGCCTCTGTCTAGAAAATGAGGTGTATCTTTCCTTATAGCACCAAAAAAATCTCAGGGAGGATGTTGATTAGTGTGACTTGGGCCACATTTCTCTCTCTGAACAATTACTGTGACCAGGTGGATGAAGTATCCAGACCAGGCCCTGGTCATAAGCTCACCCTGGGAAGACAGGGTCTACCCTAATGAGGAATCTAGACTAAGTTGAATTAATGTGCAGTGGGGGAAGATGAAGTTCTCCAAAGGAAATGCTTTCTAAGTAGAAAATAAAATGTCCCCTATAGAGCTGCGAAGATTCAGTGCCTTCTTTGTTTGTAGCCTTCCCTCTTTGTGGCTTTTTATCAAAAGACGGTGCTCAGGTTCTTATCCCCACTAAGATACTAGTAATTGCTGCCCTTTTCTTGGTGGTGAGGGTATGGGGTAGTAAGAGATTAGAAATAAAGATCTTACAGTTCTGCCTGTTCCAAAAGCTCAGGAGAAGAAGAGAGAAAGCCCAATCGTTTTGGAGTTGGGAAGAGGCTAGAACATGGCTTCTGATTCTGTGACCTTGAGCTTCATAGAGGAACTGAAAGACTCCTCTATAAAAAGGTAAGCATTTGCATTTGTCTGAATTCATAAGATTAAACTGTTTTAGTCTTATTACATAGTCTCGTGACATGGAAGGACTATTCTTGTATATTGTAAAAAAAAATTACCCCCCAGACCTTAGTAAGAAGATGAGGAAGTTGCTGGTAGTTTCCACCAAGGAGCACTGTCACCATCTATCAGATTTATAAGTAAGCTGACCACCAAGTTTCACTCTTATTCTTCTCTCAGTTTCCAGAATATGGATACATTTTTCATGCTGCAAATTATTTGGAGGTCATTTTCTAAAATATACTTTCAGATGAAATACACATTCCCAAGTGATACTTGAGAGGCCAAATCCATCTTTGCATGGAAAACCATCACTTAAAGCTGTTGTTGATATCGTCACAAGCATAGGTTGAAGGCACACATGGTGAAGGGGCAAAAAGTCCTTTCCAGCAGTCTTGATTCTGAATTAGTCCAGCTGATACCACTGAATCACAAAATGTAGCTCACTCAATAGCCCTAAGCAGCTAACCACAAGTAGCTAATACAGAGTGCTCTCAACAGGTTCATATGATGGCAAGTTGATGCTGGGAAACAAGGGAAATATCGGACAGACTCTTGCAAGAGCCATAAATAATGTGTGATTATACAGCAGCAATTATCTACAGGTGGGAGGATTAGTGTATTTTAAGAAAGCATTTCAGTCTGGTTTTGTTTTGTGTGTATGTTTCTATTTTTATTTTTTGTTCATAAACTATAGAAAGTAAAACTTACTAGTTGTAGGGGATATTCAAAACATGGAGTGAGAAAGCACAAGGGTTATGGGTAATAAAGGTTGAGAAACACAACAATAAAGAGGTAAGACTGATTTTTCATTAACATACAGAACTGAGTGAAACCTTTTAAGAGTCATCCATAGATACAAATTTTGATAATGCCTTAAAGTGACAAGCATATGGCCATGTACTTGAACAAATCTACAAAGGTATAAAATGAGTGGAATTTATAGTTATAATCAAAACTCACTGCAGTGCCAACCTGACACATGACAGCAGCCATATTTGTAAGGTGCTTTACAGTTTACACAACACTTTTCCCTCATTCTCTCTTTTGCCATATATTTAATGATAGGCATAATTGTGCTACATGCTAATTAGGCTTAATTAGTAAGTTCTTGTGAATGACTGTAAAGTGGGACTGATTTGCTGCCAAAGCAAATTTTCAGTTCTTTTTACTGTATTAGTCTCCTAGTATTTATAATCAGGATCACTTTAAATCGTATTCCATTTTGCATCATACATGCTGATCCTCATGTATATTAAGAAACAAACTCCTGAGTCTACTCCTAGACAACTGAGCTCCCCTTGCTCCAGGGCTTTTGTTATAACAAAACTGTCAACCCCTACCAGTCCACTCGTAATCGCACATCTCTCCCACTGGTCCTCATCTACTCACACTTGAGGGAGACTTGTGTGCAAAATTTAACATTCATTCACCAACAAATTTTTATTGAGCACCATGTGCTAGAGATTGAGCAAGGCATTGGAAGCATATGCACTGGTTGGCAGAACAGTCCTGGTCCCTGCCCTCATAGGGCTCACAGAGTAATGAGGTACACAAAGCCTAGAATGTGGCGGGGGAGGTGGGTGGGAAGTTGGCAGACCTATTTTACCCTCCCACTAAGCTACAAACTCAGCTTTTATCATGGGGTCTCCATTTGACTTTTTCCCTCATTTGGTTCAGCACTCAGGCAGGGAAAACACAGCTGTCATAGATTTTACCCCCTTTACCCCCAGCACAAGATGCTATAGGAGGGAGTGCCTGGGGCCAGTAGCCTGGTATTGAATAGGTGAGGGGAGGGAGCAGAATTAGTTAGGTGAAGATATTGGAGAAGCAAGCTCCCAGAAAAAAAGATAGCTTTTGCAAAGGCCCCGAGGCAGGAAAGAACTTGGCAGATTTAAGAAGCTCATTTACTGTAATTACAGAGGTTGAGGCAACAGGAGAAATGGCTTAGAAGACTGGAAAGGTGGAGGGTCCTAGAGCCAAGTTAAAAACTTTATCTTGAGGGTACCGAGAAGCCATGGAAAAGTTTTAATGACATTTCCCTGCCTCTTGTATCTCAACCCATTATTTACGTGGATAGGCCTTCTTATCAATTAGTACAGAGATGCTGTACAGACAAGAGTAGTATCCTTTCAGACTGAAACACATGGGTAGCTTAGCAGAAACCATGCTTAGGAGCATCAAGTAGAAAAAGTATGAGTTCAAGAGTCACAACGCATGAGGGTCTGTATGGTGTTGAACCATTTCTTAACCTCTCCAAGCCACTTTCCTTTTCTGTGCAGTTGGTAATGTAATGTTTAAATCCTTCATCAGGTTTTGTAGGATCAGAAGTAATAAGTATAACGCCTATGACTGGCATTCCATAGGTGGTAGCTGTCACTATTTTAGCAATGCTCTCTTGCTAACACAGATTTCAAACTCTCTTGGGGAATGGAATCACAAAATAATACATCGTCAAATTGTGAAGAAACCTTAAAGATCTGTCTGTATATGATGCTTGCATTCCTTCTGCAACAATGACAATTAGTTGGTTTGTTCTCCGGCATTACTTATAACATCCAGAGACAGGAAGCTCACTGCTTTCTGAAGCAGTCACTGCATATTTGGCTCTATTAGAAGGTTCTTTTTGTGGACTGAATCCAAATCTGCTTCCCTGCGACTTCTATCCAGGGGTCTTGGTGGTACCCCTAATGCCTCTTCCATGTGACAGTCCTCCAGGTATTTAAGGCCATTATCTCCCACTACCACTCACCTAGAGTTGAAAAGCTTGTTTCTTCAGCCTAAGAACAACAATAAAAGGGTCAATTCATCAAGAAAATACAACAATCTAAAACATATATGTACCTGACAATAAAAACATGAAGAGTGTTAGTGGAAGATTTTAATAATAGTAGTAGTAGTAGTAACTGTCATTTACTGAGCACCCCCACTATACTTGATACTATAGATACACAGATAAGTAAGTCTCAATCAATCCTGTTAACTGAAGAAAGAAAAGTAAATAAGTGTAAAACAACATTACAGATACTGTGACAGAGGTCTGTGCAGGAAAAAAGTGGGGTGGGGCACCAAGGGAATAGCTATCTTTATGGAAGAGGGGTCTGCCTCTTATAAGAGATAATATAAACTACACCCTCTCAACTGAGTAGGCAATACTTACACTCAACTGGACTTATCCATTTGTGGTATTTGTTAAAACATCATTTTAGAGGTTTTAGTCACACAAAGTATTCAAAACAGCCACTGTTAGTGACTGCAAACGCATTCCTACAGAGATGTTAATTCTCCCTGTTAACATTCTTTACAAAGACTCTTGGGTTAGGGGCTTCCCGGGTGGCGCAGTGGTTGAGAGTCCGCCTGCCGATGCAGGGGACACAGGTTCGTGCCCCGGTCCGGGAAGATTCCACATGCCGCGGAGTGGCTGGGCCCGTGAGCCATGGCCGCTGAGCCTGCGCGTCCGGAGCCTGTGCTCCGCAACGGGAGAGAGGCCACAACAGTGAGAGGCCCGCGTACCGCAAAAAAAAAAAAAGACTCTTGGGTTAGAGTCAGAATAATGGAAGCCAGGCAAGGAAGAAGAGTGGAATACTGTGATTTGTTGTACCTGTAAATGGATGGCAAATATTTGAAAAGGAGGAGCCTCAACTAGTCTTTCATAAGCACTGAAATAGAAAAGATGAGGCATACTGTGTTTGTTGTGGCCATGCAATATTGGAAGGCCACAGAAGATGGAGAGGAGTAAAGCACTTCAGTCTTTGTTTCTTTATATGGGGCCCTGTGCTGGATGCCAGGGTAAAGATGACCCAACTAAGAGGCTGAGGCATGGGCACAAGGCGATCGAATGCAGATAGAGGTGGGGAACCTTAGAAAAGGATTATTTGATGTGGCCTGGAAATTCTGAGGATAGATCCTTGGACAGATGAAGTTAGCCTTTCTAAAGGAGGCAGCATGTCCAAGAATAGATACAACAGTGAAGTCCTCCCAGCCTCCTAATGTGGACCTTCTTCGTGTGAGCCTTAGAAAGCAAAAGGCAGTGGAACTTGAGCTGCCGTCTTGAAGAAGAAACACATGAGAGGCAGAAACACGAGAGTAAAATATCAGTGGAGGCTAAAACTAGTACTTTTCAAGTTCGTTAAAGAAGAATCCCTTCCAGAAACAGTTATAACACTAAGGATCTTGAAATGTTCCCCCAAACAAACAAATAATGAGAAGTGTAGAAAAGTTCATTTCACAATGTGCAAGCCTTCCACCTTCAGAAGTCATCAAGGAGGATAAAGCAAGTGTTGTTAGAAGCAAAAAGTACTCATGGAGACAAGTGAGGAAACAGGAGTGTTAAGCAGAAGTTCAGAGACCCAGTCCCATCCCCATTGCCCATCTGAGGGGATTGAAGTCCAGAGAGGATCTCCAACTCCTAAGACACAAATAGGACTCCTTTCATCTAGCAGGGCACAGCGCTGCAACCCAGTGATGGGTTTAGTACACGCCTCATTCAGCCATTTCTGAACTGACTTGACAAAACACAGGAACTTATTCTCGGAAAACTCTTCATTTCACCATGATACTTCATCGAGGAATTGTCTCCTCTGCTGGGGCCCTGGCACAAAGTAATCAAGGCCTCTCTTCTGCCCCTCATTTGCTGAGCTACCTTTTTCTGTTGTCATTTTTTTATTTTGGGGGGCGGGGGGGCACACCTCACAGCATGAGGAACTTCCCTGACCAGGGATCAAACTGATGGTGCCTGCATTGGAAGTGTGGAGTCTTAACCACTGGACCACCAGGGAAGTCCACTGAGCTACCTTTTTTTAAAAAAAGTAGTTCCCCTCAGGCATAATTATTAAGACATTATCCACATACCATAAATTTCACCCTTTTAAAGTGTACAAAGCTATGATTTTTAGTATATTCACAAGGTTGTGCAAATATCACCACTAATGCCAGATCATTTTCATTTCTCCTGTAAGGAGACTTGGTCCTCATTAGTAGATACTCCCAATTGTCCCTCCCCTAAACCCCTAGCAACCACTAATCTACTTTCTGTCATTATGGATTTCCCTTTTTTGGACATTTCATATAAATGGAATCATACAATATGTGGTGTTCTGTGTCTGGCTTCTTTCACTTAATGTAATGTTTTTATGGTCCATTCATGTTGTAGCATGCATCAGCACTTCATTCCTTTTTATGGCCAAATAATACGTTATCATAGATAGACCGCATTTTATTTATCCATTCATCAGTTGATGGGCTTTGGGTTTTTCCATCTTTTGGCTGTTGTGAATAGCAATACTATGAACATTCATTTCAAGTTTTTGTGTGGACATATGCTTTTTGTGTGTGTGTGTGGACAGTTGCACCTAGGAGTGCAACTGCTTGGTCATATGGTAACTCTAAGTTTTAACTTTTTGAGGAATTGCCAGACTATTTTTCGAAGGGCTACACATTTTACATTCCCATCAGCATTGTATGAGGGATCCAATTTTGCCACATCCTCACTAACACTCATCTTTTTTTATTATAGCCATTCTAGTAGGTGTATAATATTACCTCATTGTGTTACTGATTTTCATTTCCCTAATGACAAATGATGCTGAGCATCTTTTCATGTGTTTGTTGACCTTTGTATATCTTCTTTGGAAAAATCTCTATTCAAATTCTTTTCCCATTTTTTAATTGGGTTGTCTTTTTATTGTTGAGTTGTAAAAATCCTTTCTATATTCTGATTACTAGACCCTTATCAGATATATGTTTGCAAATATTTTCTTTCATTCTGTGGGTTTATGTTTCTTGAAGTGTCCTTTGAAGCATTGCTGAGCTACTTTTAACAAATATTAAAACATCTTAAACCAAATTAGGAATATGTAATTGGTGTCTGAATTATACTTTTAACTTTAATAAATAAGCATTATAATTTTATGAGCAAACCACAGTATGCAGACCCCGTTTGGGGGCTTCCAGACTGAGTCTTGGGTTCACTGTGGGATCCATCATAATGATAGTTACTGCTTTTATAGCATTTAGGTGCCACGTGCTGTTTGGGCACTTTGCAAGTATTAACTTATCTAATTGTCACCACAGTCCTATGAGGGAGAAACTTATTACTTTACTCATTGTACAGATAAGAAAACGGAGGCAGAGGGAGGTTAAGTAATTTGCCTGAAGCCAAAGAATGAGTAAGTAACAGAGATGGGCTCCAGATTCCGTAGCTCTTAACCATCTGCCACGGAGAAGGCGGAATAAAACCATTTCAAAGAATGCCTAACTCCTCGATTTGGGGAAATAATGGTGTTTTCATGGCGTCTACACTCTGAACAGTTCTCCTCTCTGTACCAAGCCAGGAACTAGTGCCACCCTTCCAGGCGTCTTCATTACTCCCTCCCCTCCCAGTCTAGCTTCAGGATCTTCTCTCCTGTCCACCGGTCTGATACTTCAGTGTTTGGAAGTAACAGCAAATTTGCCTGCGTTCCCCAGGTGGAGTGGTTCTAAATTTCTGGCAGCCAGTGGGAACAGAGGAGCAGCGGATTCAGCCCAAAGAGGCTCAAGGCTGAGCCATGGGAGGGGCCAGCGAAGGGGGCGGGAACTGAACCCCGGAGGACTTGACCACAGTGTGCAGTGTGCGGCGCCGGCTGCTCAGAGCGGAGCCATGAGCTGGACCTGCCCACGTTGCCAGCAACCCGTTTTCTTTGGTGAGGCCTGGGCGGAGGAAGGGGAGAAGACGGGGCGAGTGAGAGCCTTTGGGCTCCATGAGGACGCAAGGAGCTGGCCACGGTGTGGTCCCAGCCCCCTTTTCCACCTATGGGGTGCACAGCACTCGGGCGGGATGGAACTGGCCTCCCGTCCTAGAGACGACACTCCCCATCGTCTCTAGGAATAACGGTGGGGGGGAACAGGGGGGAAAGGAGGGCGCCTTGTGCTTGGCCTGGCTCTGCCCGGTTGCACCTTGTCCCCCACAGCAGAGAAGGTGAGCTCCCTGGGCAAGAACTGGCACCCATTCTGTCTGAAATGTGAGCACTGCCACAGCGTCCTGTCCCCAGGAGGGCATGCAGAGGTGAGGCCGGGCTAGGGTGCACAGCCTTGTGTCTGTCACTGTCGCCGAGTCACCAGCCCCCGGTTTCAGCCCCATTGGCCCACCAAAGTCAACCTCAGCAGCCAACTCCCAAGATCACCTACCCAATAGGCACCACACCAGCCAGCATGTGGGGAGCCTGAATTGTGCTGGTGGATCCCATGCGTTTCATCAGGTGGGGGAGGGAAGCAGCACTGCTTCCTGACCTGCTCTTTCCCTGTCTCCCTGACCACAATGGCAGTTCTGGCATGCCAGCCCACCCCTCACTGCTCCCAGCCCCCACAGCCCAGGCCAGTAGACAGACACACCTGGCAGCCTGTCCTGGGGAAAAGCCTGTGGGGCACAGGAGAGCCCCCTTGGGCCCTAAGCAGTCCTCTTCCCTCTGCTTGTGCCTAGCACAACGGAAGGCCGTATTGCCACAAGCCATGCTATGGGGCTCTCTTTGGACCCAGGGGTAAGTACCAGCCTGGAACGGGCCAGGGGACAGCAGAACCCTCCATGTGGCTGGGAGCTGGAGGCTCAAGCCTGACCTCCCCTCTTCTCTCTGCAGGGGTGAACATTGGTGGTGTGGGCTCCTACCTCTACAATTCCCCCACCCCCACCCCTGCCAGTGCTACTCCTCTTAGCCCCAGCAGCTTCAGCCCCCCCAGGCCCAGGACTGGCCTCCCACAGGGCAAGAAAAGTAAGTGAGATCAAGCCCCAGCTACTCCTCCTCCTGACCCTTCCCCAGGATGGAACAGGGGATGGGGACCAGGTGGCAGTATCCCACCTAGTCCTTTGCTTCACATTCCTACAACTTTGTTCATGGCAAAGACTTCTCTTCTCCGTGGCCCCTTTTTTGATGTTTCCTCCTGTCAGCTGCTGAGTAAGAGGTAAATCGGGCAGGTGGCATTATCACCCCCATTTTACGGGTGAGAAAACTGAGGTCTGTAGAGGGCAAACGACCTTGTGCAGTCACACAGCTAGTCAGAGGCAAAGCTGGCCTGGAACTCAGGCCCCTCCCAGGCCAGGGCCATGGAAGGAATGACCTAGAGTAAGGGGTCATTGAGATGGGCCAGCCCCTCACATTTCTTCCACTTCTCCCCTCTCCCTGTTCCTTCCTCCATCCCCTGGAGTGGGCAGTGACATTGTGCTCCCCAACACCTGACACCCCTGCCCTGGCCAGCTCCTATATCAGCTCAGGTTTCCTGAGGATTGAGTTGCTGACGGGGTTGGGCTGGTGGGCACCTGAGCCCCTGGGAGGATGAGAAGGAAGCAGGTGGTCCCTCCTGCAGGGAGGGATGGGGCAGGAAGTGGAGTCAGAGGGGACTCAGCTCTGCCTGAGGAAGGCAGGCTCATGTCCATGCGGGTGGGAGGCTCTGGGATGAGCATGGCTTTGGGAAGAGGACAGTGCCATATGCAGGGCAGGGCTGATGGGCCCTGTCTAGGCCTGGCCTCCACCTCAGCCCTAGCGGGGGCCTCTTCCCCTTAAAGGCCCTCCCCACACGAAGACGTTCACTGGGGAGACCTCGCTGTGCCCTGGCTGTAAGGAACCCGTCTATTTCGGTAAGTGACAACAGAAAGCTAGGAGAGAGGGGTGCAGGATGGGCATCAAAGGGCAGGGAGGTGGTACAAGGCAAGTGGGTCTCCCTGCCCTGCCCCTTGAACTACCATCTCTCCCCCACCAGCTGAGAAGGTGATGTCTTTGGGCAGAAATTGGCACCGACCCTGTCTGAGGTGCCAGCGGTGCCGGAAGACCCTGACTGCTGGGAGTCACGCTGAGGTGAGCAGGGCAGGGGTGGGTGATTATGCTGGGAGGAGGGAGGCTGGAGATGGGAAAAGAGCCAAGCTGAGATGTCTCTCTTTCTCTCTGTGTCCCAGCATGACGGCGTCCCCTACTGCCACATCCCCTGCTATGGCTACCTGTTTGGCCCCAAAGGTGGGCAGCCCCACCCCAGACAATGGGCCTAAAGTATGGCATGTGGGTCTGTGGGGATGTGTGGACAACTTCCCCTGTGGTCAAACACACCCCAGACCCCTCCCAATTCCCTCCAGCCTTCAGCCCAGCACCCTCCCCAGCCCCAAGGCCCTTGGTGATGGGGCTCTCTCCCTCAGGTGTGAACATTGGTGATGTGGGCTGCTACATCTATGACCCCGTGGAGATCAAATGAGATGCTCATAGCAGAGGTCACCCTAACTCAGGCCTCCCATCATCCTCTCCATGGTCCAATGGAAGCTACAGAATTCTCTAGTCCCATGAGGGTGGGAGAAGGTGTGATTCTGGCGGCCTGGGCCTAGGCTCCATGGTAGACCAGAGTCTACACTTTCTCTGCCAACTTCTTCCTTTCCCATTCCTATCTGGTCAGGGGACATAGGCCACCCCATTTGAAGGTTAGTGTCTTGGTCTTCCCAATCCCTTGACCCAGCAAATTCTGTAACTTCAAGGTACTCATAAAACTTGTGTTTATTTTGGCTTCTCCAATAAAATGTTGGCTCCCATGCCTTCAACTCTTCTTTGGGCATGAGGCCTAGACAGTGGGTTGGAGGGTGGGGAGTGTAGGGGTGTGGGGATGCATTACCCTGCAAAGTGACTGGGAGGTAGCAAAGCCAGCCATGGGAACAAAGAGCTCTGTTCTCCTGGTCCCCTGGCTCTGGCACTGGGCAGCTCCCAGCACCACGCAGTGGACAGCATGCCCACCAGCCCTGTTGGTACCAGAAGTCGTCATAGGACAGTTCTTTCTTTAGCACCATCTCTAGAGGAAGCACCTTATTCAGCATCTCATTTGAGCATGAGAGCAGATAGATCCTGCGCCGAGGTCTGCTAAGAAGCTTCATTATCCATTTGAGAGATGACCAGACAGACCCAGAGAGGGAAAGCCACATGCCCAAGGTCACCCAGAAATCAGTGACAAAGCTGGGACCAGAACCCAGGGCCAGACTCAGTGGCTTCCCATCCAGGGCTCATCCCACAGCTCCTCACTGTTGCCCTAACCCAAGGGGCACCTTTATTTACAGAATCCCCCCAGCCATGAGAGGGGTGCCAGAATTCTCAGCAGCCCACTGCATTCTGGGAAGTTGCTCTGTTGCTGGACGCCAAATAGTCAAGGCTGGATGAGCACAGAGAGGGGGCAACTCCAGCCCTGGACAGGGGGCTCACTGCCCCCAGCCCTGGTCAGAGGGCCTGCCCTTCTATTTTCCCAGCCCCTGCTGCAGAACTTCCATGGAGGGCCTGCCCCTGATTGCATTCAGTCCTGGACCTGCTTCATGGGCATCTCTTCCTCCTGAGGGTTGGATGGGGCACTGAGGAGGAAGGAGTCATGAGCAATGGTGGGGTTTATCCTCCCAGCCTACCACCCCAGCCTGCCCCATAGGGCTGGCCTAGGCCTTCCCCCCAGCTCTTGATATACAAACACATGTACTCCCACAAGTGACTCCCACACATGCTTGACACATCCCTGACATGTAGGCATACCTGAGTGTGTGTACACATCCTCTTCTTCCTGGACACACACACAGGTATGGACTCATGTATACTTCTATACACGCAGTTTACATACCTCAGGTCACATACCCATGCACACTTGCATACATGCACCAGACACACATGTGCAGACATGTCTTCCTCTCTGAATCTTACCTAAGGGGTCAGGTACCTGAGCACCCATACCCACATGCATGTGCTCACACAGACACAGTCCTGTGCACACACCTCTTCCTCTCCACGTCTTGGATGGTCTCTGGTAGTTGTGCCTGCTTTGTCTCTGGTAGCAGGAGGGCAGTGCAGGCAGCCAGCAGGGCGATCCCCCCATAAGCGAGCTTGGGCAGTGACAGCCATACTCCGTCCAGCAAGGCTGCCAGTGGGGCCAAAGAGCCCCCCAGTCGGCCCACCAGTGCAGTCAGCCCCATCCCTGTCTGTCTGCTCAGAGAGAGAGGATGGAGGAGGGGGTTGGTGCTCACACCTACTTGCGGTCATGCCTCACGGGGCTCCCTTTCTGGGCTGGCAGGGCCTGGTGCCCCCTTCTTCCCAGACAACTAAGAAAGCTGAGTCTTCTATCAGGTGGTCTTCCCACCCACCCCTAGGCCAGGGGCCCCCAAGCCAGCACCCACCAGAGGATGGGCCCCCATTCTGATAGTACCAATTAGGTATTGCTGAAGGAAAAAAAAAAAGTCATCAGAAAGAGGATGGGGAAAGGGTAGCGTGAAAGGAAGGGGTCAGCAGCTGGAACAGACCCTGCCATGTTACAGGAGACACAAGGCTTTCTAAACATGCCCAGCTGCCTACCCATCTCCTCCCCACCTGTCAATAGCTACCTGAAAGGGCCAGGGCCTTATGTCCAGAGACAACCCCCAAGGGCAGTTCTGCTTAGGCTGTGTTGAGTAGGATGGGATGGACAGATGGGGCCTTTTTTTTTCCTTTTTTTTTTTTTTTTGTGCGGTATGCGGGCCTCTCACTGTTGTGGCCTCTCCCGTTGTGGAGCACAGGCTCCAGACGCGCAGGCTCAGCGGCCATGGCTCACGGGCCCAGCCACTCCGCGGCATGTGGGATCTTCCCGGACCGGGGCATGAACCCATGTCCCCTGCATCGGCAGGCGGACTCTCAACCACTGCACCACCAGGGAAGCCCCAGATGGGGCCTTTTGAGACTGTTTTCTTTTAAAGGACGCCCAGAAAAGTTGTCTGACCTTGCTCAAGGTCACTTAGTAAAGAAGATTAAATGCCCCACCTCCTCCCAGACTTAGGCAAACACAAACAGCTCTGATTAGCTCTGTAAGGAATGGGCGACAGGGACTGGGGTGCAGTGTGTGTATGTAGGCGTGTTGATAAGAGTTGTGACTAACAAGCCCTCCCTCCAGGTGGCTTGCCTGGGACCCCTCACCTGAGCACGGTAGGGTACAACTCCGACGTGAAAAGGTAGGCAGTGGTGAAGGCAGCTTCAGAAAAACCTTTCCCCATCACCGCCAGGGCGGTGCTCCAGGACTTCACCTCTGGAGGAAAAGGGGTTCAGGCGGTGAGGAGGCCTTGCAGAACAGAGGTTCTCCCGGGATAGGAGGTGGAGCCTCCGGAGAGGGCCAGACTTAACTGGCCTTGAGTCGGGGCTTCCGGGAAAGAGCCGGGTGGCGCTGGGGGGCGGGGTTTTCTCGGCCAGAAGGCGGGGCCTACGGGAATGGGCGGGGCTTGGGGCGGGGCTCACCGGAGGACACCAACAGCCTGAAGCCCAAGGCGAGGGCGGCGCCGAGCAGCGTTCCTGCCAGCGTGAGGCGGCGTCCGGCGTGGCGCACCGACAGGTAGACCAGAAGCTTGGAGGGCAGCTCCACGGCCCCGAAGAGCAGCTGCGTCTGGTACACGTTCAGCCCCAGTCCCGACACATCCAGGCTCACGCCGTAATAGGAAAAGTTCACTCCAAACCTGAGGGGGGTCGCGATGCCACTCAGGGGTCCTCCTTCGCGCCCCCTTGTCCTCTCTTCTCAGGAGCCTTGGCCTTTTAGAGGGACCGTCTCCCCCACCTTCGGAGCCCGCTGCCCACGGTCTTCCGTGTCCCCATAATCCCTTCTGAGTGTGCAGCACATGCCAGTAGCCCAAGCACCTTTACCTAATCTTCACAGCAACCCTGTGAGATAGGAACTAATAGCGTCCGGTTGTACAGAAGAGGCACTGAGGCTCAGAGTGTTTAAGTGACCTGTCAAAGGGCTCACAGTAAGGAGGTGGCAGAGCCTGAATTTAACCCCACGTGTCTCTGATGCCTGCTCCATCCTGACCTCCCGGAGCCCCCTTCCCCCCTAGAGGCGGATCCTCCTGCCATCCGCAGTTACAGTTTCACTTGTCCCTTGTCCTCTCACACTCAGCACCAGTGGAGTGTGCCCCTCCCCCACCCCACCAGGCCCCCTCCTCACCACACCACCATGCAGCACAACGAGATGTGTCGCAGCCTTGGAGTCCGGAACAGGTCCAGGTATGAGGGTGTTCGGACCACCCGCTCCGCAGCAGCCACTTTGCTCAGAGCCTGGTGGGGAAGGAGGAGAGTTTGTGACATCTGAGTTGGCTATGTGGCCTGAACAAGGCACCTTGTTCTCCCTGGGTCTCCATCCTTCTCGTCTGCAGTAGTGGGGGAGGGGATGCACGTGGGAGCTGAGTAGGGTGGGTCCTGAGTCAAGGGTGTGGCCCACCAGGGCCAGTAGGACATCCTGAAGAGTTTGGAACACTCCACTGGGGGCCAGGAGCTTTTCTTGCACACAGAGTGGATCCCAGGAAGGGGACCCTTGACACAGGGCACACACACACACACACACACACACACGTACTTGCATGCACTCACACATACATTCACTCTCACCTCCTGGCTCAGGCCGTCCTCACCCAGAGGCCGCCCATTGAGCCTGGCACAGCGGAGCAGGTACCTGTGGGCCTCTTCCACACGGCCCTGGGTCAGAAGCCAGCGTGCAGACTCAGGCACCCACCTGGGGGGCAGGAGGAGGCCCTTCAGTCAGAGCGCCCTAAGCCCTAAGGTCTTCCTCCTGGGCACACCACAGGCTGTCAGCTTCCAGGCTCTTCCACACACAGTCCCCTCAGCCTGGAATGTGTTCTCTTCCCAAGCCCTCCTCATTATTCATCCCTTAAGGCCCAATTTCAAAGCCACCTCTTCCCACTCTTCCTTGCCCAGGCCTAGGTCCTCCACAGCCTGGGAGTCCCTTCTCTACTCAGCTGAATTGGTCTTGCTCCCAAAACCTCAGCCCCCAGGACCAGCTACCCACCTCACCCACAGGTGACAAGAGGGCATAGGATGAAAGAGAGACAGACATACCCACAGGGATCATCCAAAACCAGTTCATTTTGGGGAGGCAATGAAATGCCCACCTCACCCAGCCCCCCACCTCCTGCTTGGACTCCCTACCCCTGTGCTGGCTTGGCCGCCACCCCCACCCCTCCAGGGCACCAGCCTGTCTGTGCTTGGCTCTGTCTCTTCTGTCACTCATGTGTTCAGCTCTATCTGTGCCTCTGAGTCTGCCTTTCGGTCCTGGTCTCTCACTGTCTCTCAGTGGTTCTGTCTCTGTCATTCCATCTCTATCTCTCTATATTTTGTTCCCTGTTTCTCTGCTTCACATGCCTGGTGCCATCTTCTTTGTATTGATCTCTGTCTCTCTTTCTCTGTTGGTCACTGACAGTTTCTCTTCATCTCTCAGTCTGTCTTCGAATCTCAGCCTCTGATTAATTGTCTCTGGCCTCCTGTATCTCCCACTCCCCAGCTACCCCCGGGTCTCACCAGATGCTGAGGATGCCTGGGGCACAAGGCAGGGTGACAGCCAGCAGAAGCCATCGCCAGTCCCGTATCAGGTAGCCGACCAGTGCCAACAGCATCACACCCCCTGTCCAGAAGGTGCTGCTCAGGACACCTGCCACAGTACGGTGTCCCACGTCCAGCCACTCCAGCTCTGGACCCAGGGCGCGGTTGGAGACAGGAAGACAGTTAGCAAGGGCCAGATGGGCTCAGTCTCACCCTTGAC